ATATCAGCAGCCGGCTCCTGTACCGTCCTCACCAGCAGCCGGCTCCTGTACCGTCCTCACCAGCAGCCGGCTCCTGTACCGTCCTCACCAGCAGCCGGCTCCTGTACCGTCCTCACCAGCAGCCGGCTCCTGTACCGTCCTCACCAGCAGCCGGCTCCTGTACCGTCCTCTAGCCCTCCCACTGCTCCTCAGGAATGCCAGTTGTATTTGAAGTACTCACAACTAATCTTATTTGGGGATTCCTTTTCACTGTGGGACCTGAATATGTTTTCCCCCTTCTTCACGCTATTGTGATTGAAATGATGGTACTTGTGTCTTGGTAAAAGTAGGATGGGGTGGGGTTTGGCGAGCCGGAGGGTGGGGGTGAGTGGAGAAGGGGAAGGGAGAGATGAGTGGGGTGGAGGAGATCTGTCTCCTTTACACTCCGTCTCCAGTACAGGTGGTCTCCTTCCCCCCCCAAAAGGTCCTCCAAACATTCCCATCATCAACCTGTTTACATTTTTCATTACATTCTTAGATTTACTTACCAGCGCATTTTTTTTTTTTTTAACCTTTTCACCCTTTCACCTACCTCTTATCCCTCTCTCCTCCCACTTACTTCTTACCTGCCACCTCTTCACCCATTCGCCACCAATCACGAATGAGCACATCAAAACGACAAGCGGTGAAACACGGTGAATAGGCCGCCTCACGGTGGAACGACCAGAGCGCTCGTTACCACTGATGCACACTGACGTCCAACATGGCCATATAATTGAAATCCATTGTAAACATGGCTTTATCGGCGTATTAAAGAGATAAGCTACAAGTATTTAGCCTATTAGTGAGCACACGAGTGGTTTATCAGCCCCCCGCATCGCGCGTCCGAGTTCCGTCTTTCTCGCAGGGGTGCGTAAGGGCTGATTTCAAATAGTGAAGGACCCAAGCCAGGGCCCTGCGGTACCCCAGTTGTAGATCATCCATTAAGAGACTTTGGCTGGCCTGGCACTCAAGCGCCAGCGTAGCCTTAAGGCATATACCACTCTAATATACCCATTAGCACATAATAACATATACGGTGATGAGTGTCAATACAGCACTTTTTACAGCGAAACGCTTATAGATTTCTGAGATATAGAGAAGGAATGGTTCGACATGTATGTTTATGATAGGAGGGAGAGAGCAGGATGGAGGAATCAGTGAAGCAGAACCCTGGTAGAACCATGGTGGACCGGGTCTGTGTTGTCTAAATTGTCAATTCTTTCTTTGTCTGTCTCTCTCGACCGCTGTTTCACTTTCTGTCTCTCTCTCTGATTCTCAGTCTCTATCTCTGTCTCACACACACGTACCGAAGAGCCGAAGCTCAACCCCCGCAAGCACAACTAGATGAGTACACACACACACACACACACACACACACACACACACACACACACACACACACACACACACACACACACACACACACACACACACACACACACACACACACACACATATATTAACTTACCTTCGTGTTCATTGCTCCCTTCGACATCGATTTTTTGTTTAGATTTATCTATTAAGACAACTAAGTGCGTCTCAGGGTTAACATTCTACAAGTCCCCTAACTACACAATGATTCAAACTGACAATAAAGACATTTATAAATTTGTAATCTGGGCCTCTAACAAAATATCAAACTTCGTTTCATTCTCCAAGTGACCTTAAGAACAAATTTACCTTGATGATACGATCACATTTCTCTTTTGTGACAAGACCACGTGTTCCTTGATTGACAAGGCCACACGTTACGTGATTGACAAGGCCACACGTTACGTGACTGACAAGGCCACACGTTACGTGATTGACAAGGCCACACGTTACGTGACTGACAAGGCCACACGTTACGTGATTGACAAGGCCACACGTTACGTGACTGACAAGGCCACACGTTACGTGATTGACAAGGCCACACGTTACGTGACTGACAAGGCCACACGTTACGTGATTGACAAGGCCACACGTTACGTGACTGACAAGGCCACACGTTACGTGACTGACAAGGCCACACGTTACGTGATTGACAAGGCCACACGTTACGTGATTGACAAGGCCACACGTTACGTGATTGACAAGGCCACACGTTACGTGATTGACAAGGCCACACGTTACGTGATTGACAAGGCCACACGTTACGTGATTGACAAGGCCACACGTTACCTGATTGACAAGGCCGCCACGTGTCCTGATCCGCTTCAAAGAGCAGACGTGCTTTAAGTTACTAATCTAATATGAACTAATAATTTACCAAAAGTGTGGGTCCCGCTAGAAATGGAGCATCAGGTGATGATTGGGAGGTCAGGTGTGGATTGGTAGGTCTCAAGTGATGATTGGGAGGTCAGGTGTGGACTGGTAGGTCTCAAGTGATGATTGGGAGGTAAGGTGTGGACTGGTAGGTCTCAAGTGGTGATTGGTAGGTCAGGTGAGGACTCGTCAAGCGATTGAAGAACCCACTTTTGAAAAAATAAGTCAATTAATTGGCTATCCACACTAGTTGACAGCTAGTTCACACCTGCAAACTCAACCACTCCAAGGCTATATCCAGCGATCCTTGCACGTAGGAAACCACAGAACGGAATTCACAAACGGTGGTCTTATCTCATTTTCCCCTCAACACCCCCTTCCATCTACCCCTTCCCCTCACCCCCCCTCACCTCTCCTACTACCCCTCCCTCTTCCCCCTCCTCCATCTTCTCCCCTCCCCCCAACCCCTCCCCCCCCTATACACCATCCATATAAAGTAGTTTCTTATCTGAAACAATATATCTGGTTATGCCTTGAATCCGCAACGCTTATATGTATAATCGATCATATATTAGCATGAGATCCGGCCTCTAGATATCCGTGTTATTTTCCATTTAACCGAATTATTAACCGGACAGGACTCACTTTGAATTATTAGGAGAACAGAACTCCTTTAACCGAATTATTATACGAACAGAACTCCCTCAACCGAATTATTGACCGAACAGAACTATATCCAGAAACATGTAAAATATATATGTATGAATATGCTCTTGTTTCCTGAAGTGCTTGTTAGGTAGTTAGGGTAATTACACACAATTGTTATCTGTCGGATTGTTAGCATCTGGTGAGTTAAGCTGTGAAGTACTGGATGTCATTGTTGATGGTATCTAATTGTGTGTGATAGCGTCGTGTGTGTGTGTGTGTGTGTGTGTGTGTGTGTGTGTGTGTGTGTGTGTGTGTGTGTGTGTGTGTGTGTGTGTGTGTGTGTGTGTTTAGTTGCTTAGTCTGGCTATATATCACTCTCGTATAAATACACACACACACACACACACACACACACACACACACACACACACACACACACACACACTCACTTACACACACACGTACTGGACAGCACAGCAAATTGCTTATCGATTCCACTTTGTTTTCCGGAAATAGACTGATTGAACAAAACCAGCACATACTGCCATAATGAATTAATTTCACGATACAAAATACAACAATATGATAGAATTAAACACAATAAATGGCAGTATGAAAACGTTGAATGCAACTGCTCTTTCATTCACTTGCAAGGGAACAAATGAATTTTATGTTGTTATTCACGATAATGTCTAACTATCCACCTGGGGTCAGTGTCTAACTATCCACCGGGGGTCAGTGTCTAACTATCCACCTGGGGTCAGTGTCTAACTATCCACCTGGAGTCAGTGTCTAACTATCCACCTGGGGTCAGTGTCTAACTATCCACCTGGGGTCAGTGTCTAACTATCCACCTGGGGTCAGTGTCTAACTATCCACCTGGGGGTCAGTGTCTAACTATCCACCTGGGGGTCAGTGTCTAACTATCCACCGGGGGTCAGTGTCTAACTATCCACCTGGGGTCAGTGTCTAACTATCCACCTGGGGTAAGTGTCTAACTATCCACCTGGGGTCAGTGTCTAACTATCCACCTGGGGGTCAGTGTCTAATGGGTGTTGTAGGATAGAGAGAGGGGGGGGGTGGAGTATGGAGAGACGAGAGGTGGATACACATGTGATGGGGGGTGTGAGGGAGGAGGTAGAGAGAGTGTATGCGGATGTAGAGTAAGATACGAAAAAGAATAGAGCGTACTAGTTCAGTAAAATATGTGAGATATGCTAGATCAGTAAGATATTAAAAATACTAGATCAATAAAGATGCGAGAGTCATTAGACCAAGAAAAATGATCAGAGAAAACCACACACGTGTATATCTTATAGTTTTCAATTTCCTTTCAAATTCCTGGCACAAGCGAACGATATCCCTTAAGTCGATCGTCCACGTGCGATAGTCCTCCTGCGATCGTCCATGTGCGATCGTCTCCATCCCCTTTAATGTCACGATAATTTCAAAATTTAATCAAATTATAAACAAGTTTTTAAATATGGTAGAAAAACAGTGTGTCGGTAACTTCCAGGTTTTCATTCCACTTCACTATTTCCTTTGGATTCCTCACCACATTGGTCTCCAAATGCACGACAGAACTGAGGAGGCAGCCAAAACATTTGTCCGTAAAGAGGGAATGGATTACATTCTTGGATTTAGCAGCCCGAGGGCAACAGTATTCCAGGATTCAGATCTATAATTCTCTCCATAGAGGACAGAAGAAGAAAAAAAAATAGATACTGGCTACCATTGTATAAATGAACGTCTGTGGTGGAACCTGACCTACAGGAGTAACACGTTGAAGTCTCGTAACACGTAACCAGTCTCCGTGGTGTAGTGGTAAGACACTCGCCTGGCGTTCCGCGAGCGCTATGTCATGGGTTCATATCCTGGCCGGGGAGGATTTACTGGGCGCAATTCCTTAACTGTAGCCTCTGTTTAACGCAACAGTAAAATGTGTACTTGAATGAAAAAACGATTCTTCGCAGCAGGGGATCGTATTCCAGGGACCTGCCCGAAACGCTACGCGTACTAGTGGCTCTACAAGAATGTAACAACTCTTGTATATATCTTAAAAAAAAAAAAAAGTCTTTGTGTTTCAGATGAGTGCGGACGAGGCCTGGGAGGCGGTGGTGGAGGCAGCGAGAGTGGACTTGCAGAGTCCCCCGGGCAGGATCTAGCCGGAGACGCCAAGAAGAAGCATCGCAGGAACCGGACTACCTTCACCACCTACCAACTCCATGAGCTGGAGAGGGCCTTCGAGAAGAGCCACTACCCCGACGTCTACTCCAGAGAGGAGCTCGCTCTGAAGGTCAACCTTCCCGAAGTACGGGTACAGGTGAGGCTGGTGCAGACTTCTTGTTTATGTAAGTGTGTGTGTGTGTGTATCCGCCTATCTGTGCCTGCAGGACTAAGGTGTTAGCTCTTGGACCCGGCCAAATAAACTGTAGGCTGTCTAATGCGCTGACTTGCGACGTATTTCTTGATCATGTCTAATGCACTGACTTACGACCTATTTCTTGATCATGTCTAATGCGCTGACTTGCGACGTATTTCTTGATCATGTCTAATGCACTGACTTACGACCTATTTCTTGATCATGTCTAATGCGCTGACTTGCGACCTATTTCTTGATCATGTCTAATGCGCTGACTTGCGACCTATTTCTTGATCATGTCTAATGCGCTGACTTGCGACCTATTTCTTGATCATGTCTAATGCGCTGGTTTGCGACCTATTTCTTGATCATGTCTAATGCGTGGCTTGCGACCTATTTCTTGATCATGTCTAATGCACTGACTTACGACCTATTTCTTGATCATGTCTAATGCGCTGACTTGCGACGTATTTCTTGATCATGTCTAATGCACTGACTTACGACCTATTTCTTGATCATGTGTAATGCGCTGACTTGCGACCTATTTCTTGATCATGTCTAATGCGCTGACTTGCGACCTATTTCTTGATCATGTCTAATGCGCTGGCTTGCGACCTATTTCTTGATCATGTCCAATGTGCTGACTTGCGACCAGCACATTGGTTCCAGTTGGTTCGAGAGCCATTTCTCGAACCAACTCTGCAATTTGTTTAAAATTATCCTGGAGAAGCTTACAGTCGTCATTTGTTACAAATCTTCTCGTTAACTTCGCATTGTCTGCAAACACAGATATACAAGATTCAACTCTTGTAGACATTTACTTAAATGAGAACTAGTATGGGTTTTAGTATCTAGTGACTTGATCGTTCACTGTTACTTTCCTTCTTATTTATTATGCACCCCATACCCATCTTGTGGGCGGTAGTGGAATGGGTCCACTACTGTCATGGCATGGCACTTTCCTTCTGATATGACTATGTAGGAGTTTTGCTTCTGTTGACCAGACCACACACTAGAAGTTGAAGGGACGACGACGTTTCAGCCCGTCCTGGACCATTCTCAAGTCGATTGAGAATGGTCCAGGACGGACCGAAACGTCGTCGTCCCTTCACCTTCTAGTGTGTGGTCTGGTCAACATACTTCAGCCCCGTTATTGTGACTCATCGCCTGCACAGTTTTGCTTGTGTTTTGGCTTTAGAAGCAATATTATTTTCATAATTTATTTCTGACAATCATCGTATCTTTATACATTTGTTGGCAGCCCTGTTGCGTCTACTTCAGTTGGCAGCCCTGTTGCGTCTCCTTCAGTTGGCAGCCCTGTTGCGTCTCCTTCAGTTGGCAGCCCTGTTGCGTCTCCTTCAGTTGGCAGCCCTGTTGCGTCTACTTCAGTTGGCAGCCCTGTTGCGTCTACTTCAGTTTTTCTCTGTCATTTGACTTCTGTCTTTCTTCACCTTCATCCTGCTTCTCGTTTTTGTTCCTTGGCATTGTCTATTGAACAATGGGGTTGTTATATGCTCATGGCACTGTCTATTGAACAATGGGGTTGTTATATTCTCATGGCACTGTCTATTGAACAATGGGGTTGTTATATGCTCATGGCACTGTCTATTGAACTATGGGGTTGTTATATGCTCATGGCACTGTCTATTGAACAATGGGGTTGTTATATGCTCATGGCACTGTCTATTGAACTATGGGGTTGTTATATGCTCATGGCACTGTCTATTACCAGTGCCTATTGAACATGTACAGTAAACAGTGCCTACTGTCTATTGAACCATGGGTTGTTATATGCTCATGGCACTGTCTATTGCCAGCGCCTATTGAACATATACAGTAAACAGTGCCTACTGTCTATTGAACCATGGGTTGTTATATGCTCATGGCACTGTCTATTGCCAGCGCCTATTGAACATATACAGTAAACAGTGCCTACTGTCTATTGAACCACGGGGCTGTTATATGCTCATGGCACTGTCTATTGCCAGCGCCTATTGAACATGTACAGTAAACAGTGCCTACTGTCTATTGAACCATGGGTATGAATCTCTCTTCTGCCTCTTTGCTTCTCAGATTATCTTAGTCTATTATTTCCTGGACTGTTTTCCCTCTTAGTCCCTCCTCGTAGGGACTAAGAGGCCCTAGGGGGGCCTCGTAGCCTGGTGGATAGCGCGCAGGACTCGTAATTCTGTGGCGCGGGTTCGATTCCCGCACGAGGCAGAAACAAATGGGCAAAGTTTCTTTCACCCTGAATGCCCCTGTTACCTCAGCAGTAAATAGGTACCTGGGAGTTTTAGTCAGCTGTCACGGCTGCTTCCTGGGGGTGGAGGCCTGGTCGAGGACCGGGCCGCGGGGACACTAAAAAAAAAGCCCCGAAATCATCTCAAGATAACCTCAAGATAACCTCAAGATAACCTCAAGATAACCTCAAGATAACCTCAAGATAACCTCCTCCCAATGCTTTACTTTCCACATACTAATCTTTTTAATTATGTTAAACACTTGAAGCTTTAATCACCTTCACTGTGGGAGAGTTTCGAACTCAAACGTCGTTTTTGGACCGATGGTGTTAATGACAAGGAGAAAGGAGGGACATCAATGTTGACCATATCACACACCCCCGCCAAACACACACCGAAACTACGACGTTGGTACAACGTTTCGAACAAGTTTTAACACCTCCTAACCAGTTATAACAACCAATATAGCAAGTTGTAACAACGTTCTATACGTCATAAACACGTTAAGCCAAGATGTAACAACTTTATTACAAGTTGTAACCAGCGGAAAATAGAGACAGTTACGGTTTGTGTTTCCAGAGACTACTTCTCCTTCGGTGGTTATAATAGGAGCTGCCTCGTATGGGGCAATAGGCCTGCTGCAGTTTCCATTACTACTATCCCCTACACCTGACTTTCCTCCTCAGCTCTTTCTTGCCTATTTATTGCCTGTCCCTACCTCCTCATCACAATCGACTTGAGAATGGTCCAGGACGGACCGAAACGTCGTCGTCCCTTCAATTTCTAGTGTGTGGTCTGGTCAACATACTTCAGCCACGTTATTGTGACTCATCGCCTGCACGAGGGACATCAATATTTTATTTCTTCAGTATAAACCGAAAACGATGGAAAAAAAGATGTCTGGAACTTTTAAATAACAAAACAGTTGAGGAATTATAGGAAAACACACACACAGTTGGTTGACAGTTGAGAGGCGAGACCAAAGAGCCAGAGCTCAACCCACGCATGCACAACTAGTTGAGTACAAACATACACACAGTTTCAAATGTAGATATGATAGAGCCCAGTAGGCTCAGGAACCTGTACACCAGTTGATTGACAGTTGAGAGGCGGGACCAAAGAGCCAAAGCTCAACCCCCGCAAGCACAAATAGGTGAGTACACACACACACTGTACAAAACACAAACAATAAACACACACACTGTACAAAACACAAACAATAAACACACACACACACACTGTACAAACACAACAATAAACACACACACACACACTGTACAAAACACAAACAATAACACACACACACACTGTACAAACACAAACAATAAACACACACACACACACACTGTACAAAACACAAACATAACACACACACACACACTGTACAAAACACAAACAATAAACACACACACACACTGTACAAAACACAAACAATAACACACACACACACACTGTACAAAACAAAAACAATAAACACACACACACACTGTACAAAACAAAAACATAAACACACACACACACACTGTACAAAACACAAACAATAAACACACACACTGTACAAAACACAAACAATAAACACACACACACAAACGTAATAATAAAAGCAGCGTTTATATTCTCAACATAAGCCTCTTTCCTCTCCAGAAGAAATTAATTACATCCAAGCTGTCTAATGCTCCATGGTTTAAGCGCTTCTGCACTATACTCGCTAATCCAATAGAGTAATTACTTGTATTAGTACAATTCCATTACCACAAGACCTTGATGTTTCTATGAGAAAATATTGTTCTTGGGTCTGGGGAGTCCAGGGACGGAGTTCGAGTCCATTGTATGACCGCATTTTCTTATGGCTGCTTTGGTTTTAACATGATTGAAGGTACCTTCAATTAATATTTGATATTAATATTCAGAGCAGGAGTTACAGACTTAACTTGGTTGATAATAATAGCATTGTTGAGTTCATTTAGTGATGGGCTTAAGGCCTTTCAACTTCTGGAGGGTTATTAAGGTCTATCAACCACTGGAGGGTTACTTAGACCTATCAACCTCTGGAAGGTTGTTTAAGACCTATCAACCTCTGGAAGGTTGTTAAGACCTATCAACCTC